ATAAGTAGCTTTTTTATGCACTGGTATCAGATTGGTACTTAACATTGACAGATACGCAAAGTCCAAGTAATGGAATTGGCAGTTGGAAGGGAAAAAATGTATCTGAACACCTCTAGTCAACTAAACACAAATAGGTATGGTTAAAACCTTTCTCAATAGATGGAGTTTACTTTGATGCATTAATTTTATGTTTCTGTTACATTTCCAATGAGAGTCTGGTAATTTCTCAAGAATGTGACTCTCAGTGAGGAGGTTTATTTCTCTTCACGTGCCCAAAAGCTCTCTGAGGTACAGTATGTGCACATTGACATGTGGCATTAAACTCAAACACAAAATGATCCAGAGTTCTTTCCAGTGAGTCACAGAAACATCCACAGTACTGTCCCCCCACATGCTCCAGTGTATAGATATGGACGTTTACTTCTTTGCCCAACTTAATGGTCCATGGAATTCCTCAGACTTTTTTTCACTGTGTCAGCACTTTCTCGAAGTTTGCGGGAGGGAAATGAGATGTAACCTTTAAATAACTGTGAGTAAAGAGATGCAGTAGTAAAGACAACTCATCTTTTAGGCCAATTCAAACAAACAGTAAAGGCTGAGAGCTTCCACCTTCTGAAGAACTTGTCCTGCTACATCTGATTGATTGCTCACATTTACAAGAGTAATCTATATATATCTGGCATTTACTTTTATTGGTGGAGGTCCTTTTCAGTATAGCACATTGTCCATTAATTTCGGTGGTTTAATGGTGTCATGGTAGATTAGTGACTGTTCCCCTTGACATTTTTAATGCTTAATAAATGATTTTATTTGAGCAGTGCACCGACAGGTTCAGCACACGTAATCGTATACAGTTGATTATAGTAGAAATCTGGCATCTAGTATTATGTGGTGTACCGTTGTAGAAAGTTGAAGACATTTTACATTAAATGTATGTTTTTCCATAAAAAGTAATATCTTTTTTGCAGAGTTAGGCCAAATGTTACTAGTGTTTTCACGTTGGTCCTATTGCCAAGGATCAAACTGCTTGCAAAAAGCTTTAAGTGTTATAAACAGAATCCCACTGTTGTACTGACTTTTAATAAAATTTCCACCTTCAACTTGGGCGGGGCAATGAAACAAAATCAATAATTATC